ATCATTTTGAAACTGGATTTAACAGCTTTCAACTATCAGTCTTACAACTGGTTTTTATATAATTCTTGTTAGCAAGCCTGATCCAAATAGCCTCAATAAAGCCAAAAGAATTTCCACTGGGCTTTGCATCTTTTCCACATTTAACATAGCTCTGCATTTACTATTTGTTAACGGACAGTGCACCAAATTGCAATCCTCAGCTATAAAACATCAATTATGGAACAATTTGACTGAAAACAAAAGGATTTACTTACATAAACCCTGCCTGCCAGTGAAAGAAAAATTAAGGCATGAATATTGAATTTGGGGGTTTTTAAATGTATTTTGTTCTTTGCAGCACTCAGCACTAAACCTTTCCTGGGTATAATCTGTTTGAACTTTTTCCTACTAAATGCCAGCTTATTCCTTATGCTAATATAAATACCTTTTGCTCCTGCATTTTGTTCCTCCTTAATGCCATAGAAGGTAATGGTATTATTTTGATATTTGTTTCTGGAGGGTTAATGGCTCCAACTATGGAAGAAAACAAACCAAACCAAATCACAGGTGCACTCCTTTTTAAAAATAGGATTTAAGTGGAATAAAACCACAGTTTATTGGGCAGATTAAACACCATAATTATGGTGATATGCTTTTACGTTTTCCTAGACTTTCTCAGAGGCACTGGCTACTTCAAAGCCCTGTAGGTAACCTAATTAATAAACAGTTAATCCCTCCCCCGCCTTGGCAACCCTGGGACCAGGACCAACTCTTTTGCTATAAGCTGCTTTTTTTTTCCCCCCTGAAATTCAGTTATCTAGCCAGACTTTGCTTATATGTGGTTTCAGACTCTGCTGATACTAGGTACTCCCCTGGACCTTTCAGCTCTACTAATGCACCTTTCAGCATTGTACTATGATTTGATACACCTCATGAGAAGTGCCACCTCTCATAGGAGCTGCTGGCTTTTCTATGTTCTTTCCCTTCAGTCCCTCCTCAAACACCAAAAGCCAGACAAATAATTCCCTCCTCAGCAAGCAGAATAGCTTCTCATCTGGTTTCCCAGCAGCTGTGTTTTACCTAGCTTGTAGCATGACCTCTGTCCAAGACAGCAGATAAGGACCAGCAATGGTCGGCACCGATGCCCTTCACAGCCCCTGACAGCACCAACTCTGCCTCCCAGTTTCTTTGACTCATTTCAGCCCGTTGTAGAAATTACCCAATTTCGGTAATAGTGTGGCAAATGCCATGTTGTAAAGTGAGCTCAGACCTTGGTGACTGAAGTTATGTGTCGGTGCAATGTTGTTTCCAGGCATTTTCACTTATGCTAAGGGCTTAGTAAAATATGGAGACCTGCCGAAGTTAACACCAATAAAGAAGTGGTTTCCAGAAGCTAGGCTGAGATACCAAAGTAGCATGTCATCCCCACTTCCTTTGTGTGTACAGCACTACCCAGCTCAGACCTTTCAAGTAATTTCTAGTTATTCTTTTAGTATATAAACCATAAAATTTCCAAATAGTTTCCTTTATTTCTACATTTTTTTAAAAATAAAACTTCGACAGAAGAGTTTCTTATAAATATTGAGAAGCAGTAATACAACTTTTAGAATTTCCTATTTCCATTATTTCTGCTAGCAGTCAATATGATACTTAAGATTTATTTTAATGACAGCCAAGTCATCAAACATTTTATTTTACTTTATTTTAAATGACTGTTAGACACAACCCCCACATCTAAAAGTATCTCTTTCCATTTCCATCATGTGTTTTGGCTTAAGAAGAACAAAGCCTTGATGCCACTCAGCTTACTTTCTGCTAGATCCTAAGCTTATAGCCAAAGGAAAAATCCGTAGGAATTTTATCAGGTATACAAGAAAAAGCTCTTAAATAGAGCATGTAAATAAATAAAGTTTTTCTATGTTCTTTAACAAGGTAATTTACCTACAGGAACACTTTGCTAAGACACGAGAGGTGACTAAGATACAGGAAATCATGCAACTACAGAACCCTTTCCTTCCCATCGTATGTAGACTCAGTTTTCATAAGGTGATGAGACTGAATAAGAGTCTCAGACTCTAAAGCTCCACAGTTTTTAGTGAGGAGTAAGTTCTAGATTGTTTTAATATGTAAAAATAAATGCCTCTGCCCCCATAGTGAACAATCTAGTGAACAATTTTTCCCTCTTGCTAATAATTATATATTGTTTATCTAGAATGTGGTTACATAAAATATAATTAGGACAATACTGACTAGATCAGATACATTCCCACCCTACCCACCCATCTTGTACTTGAACCATTTTCTGTTTCTGGTGATTATACTAGCTAGCAGCAGGAAAATGCCCGTACAACTGAAATGGAGCTGTAGTTCACACTTCTGCTAGGTTTAGTGCTAAACTAAATACAGTCACCAATTCCATTTTCATAATTCATCTTGCAATTTTTTTTTTTTTTAAGCAATAGCTTTTAGGATTGTGGGATTCTCAGCTTTCCTTTAATTAAAATGAAGAGGTTTTCAGCAACTAACATTCCAGGTAAACGATGGAAAATCTGAAACATCAAGACTCAAAAATGAAAAACCAAACCAACATATAGGCTGGGAAAAAAAGGCTGAGGATTAAAGTCCTTATCATGATTTTTGGTTGACTCATGGGCATTGAACCTGTGAAACTGGCTTCACTGAACACTCTGTACTAGCAATTCAAGATGACATATATCAGTTAGAAGTATTTTTTGGAATCTGAAGGGCTAGCAATTTAAAAGCTAGTGCTGCAAACAAGCCACAACAAGATCCATAAAGTTAAAAAAAAAAAAAAAAAAGGCAAAAAGGCACTAGAACTTTAAAAAAAATGTTTGGACAACATGATCATGCTTGAAAATTCACAAGGTCTACGTGGAAGATTTTTGCACCACTGTAATCTAATCATGTGCTATCCTTGGATTTTTTGTACCAGAACAAGTCATTCCTCTGTGTTGTGTTAGAATGAAACTGAGCTTTCAGCAAGCTACAGTGTGGTTTAGTTTTACTAGTGCAATGCATTAACCTTAGGACTGGCATCCTAATGAGAACAAGAACTGTGCTTTCATACAAAGCGGACTAGTTCCCCCTCCAGTCTGTTCAAAATATTGTTCACTGCTTTGAGCACATCACAGCTGCAGACCCTACTTTTCCTCACAGTAACTGACACAAATGATAGAAAGTATGAGTCAGTATACTCAACATTTGGTGACTTAATTCCACATCACAGTAACTACTCTTGATTATTAAAAGAATCACCACCTTTCACTTTACTAGCACTCCTTGTCTTAAGCCTGCTGTTTGCCCTTGTCCTTTGGAGAATTGCTAACAAAAAGCCCAGCGATCTGCCCTGCATCTGCTCCATGTTGTTCTTCCGAGCTTGGCTCTACCGTGGGGTATACCTGGCCAGTGACTGCTTACAGTAGGCTGCCAGCCATAAGCATAAATCATTTCTTATATGTACAATGCAACTGTGTTATTACACCCCAAAGCTCTTACCTTCTCAGTCTACTTGTTCCAGCATTGGTGTTTGTGATATTAAATGCCCAGGCCAGTGACTAGCCTGGAGGGAACTTTATAAAGTATCTTAGTATAATGTGTTCACTACTGAGATCCCAAGTGTATCACAGCCAAGTATCACCTTGGCTAAAAAAATGTAGCAGCAAATTAGAATGTTTCTTACTGTAACAGAAGTTATTCCGTATAGCAGCTATCTCATCTCAAGGTAGAGCTAGGCAAGAACTGGAAAAAAAACCAGATTTGTCAGAATGAAAAGTGTTCCCGGGAGTGTGATTCTTTCAGAGTCACAGCTCACAGGAAAAGCTCCTCAGCTTCAGGGTGGCAGATCCTAGCAAGACAGATGACGAACATGGAAGAACCGTGTGATTACAACACATACCTGGAATACAAGAGCTCTTCTGGGATGAGAACCAGAGGGTGGTCACAGTGTTAGGTGAAAAACTTCCAACAATCTGCTACATTTTGGCAGGGCATGGGGAAAAATTTTACATAACAAAAGCTTTTGTTTTGTTTTTCAGGAGAAAACTCCCCCCATTTCTATTCTTGCATTAAAAATGGGGAGAGAGGATTGAAGCCGTGGAGGAGGAGGAGGGGTGAGAAAAGCCACCTTTTTCACAAATTGAACAACAACATATCAAGTATTTGTCATACCAAGGGACCATCCCTCTCTGCCTCGGGTTCTTGGTGTCTTCCTTGTCCCAGTGGCTGTGCTACTCATTTCTGCCAGTATGTTAACAACAAAATGAAGTGCATAACACTGGGAGTTTAGATGCAACAAAATAAGATGGTCAGTGGTCCAGAGTTTATGAGAAGGGACACAGCATCTAGACAGTACTACAGAGCAGTTAATTCACAAGGAAAACAAGATTATTTTATGTTGTTTCTATTTCAGCCTGGGCAGGGCTAGATTACAGCAAGTCTTGACAACCCACCTTGTTCAAACACGGGTCTATTTGCCTTAATTAAAAAGTCAGCTAGGCGAAGAGTTAAAACTGTGAAATTGTTGACTGAGAATGAATCTATGTTGTTGTTTCTCTCTTTACTGCTCTCTTGTTACTTTCATCCTGGGTATTTCTCCTATTAAATACATTTAGACTAAGGAACGGGTACAGAAGGTCTTAGTCCCTTCTTCCCATTTGGAGGATTGGTGTAACAGAAAAAGTAACGTCCTATGCTAATACCTACCTACAGGAATTCAGCAGGCAGCCTCTAAACCACTAATCTGAACATAATCCAGTTATACCTTTGAGCAGCACCACAAAGGCAAAGCAGGGGTATTCATCCTCACCTATACATATGCATTAATTTGAGTATTAGCTGGGAAATTGTATAGGTTCATAAGATCCCCATTTCCTGAATAGTAGCATATCTATACATACAAAGATTGGGAGACTGTTGTGCAATTTGATTTACTTTATTGAGTAATAGCCTCATAGCTACAGTGGTGAATTAGAAGAAAAAAAAAAAAAAAAAAAAAAAAAAAAAAAAAAAAAAAAGAAAAAGAAAAAACCACAACCCCCTCCAAAAAAAGCCCCCAAATCATATTTCCCCACATTTTGGGAAACAAGCTGAAGAGAACATTCTACACTGTAGAAGACAGCTGTAACTGCTGATATCCATGTTTTGACATTGGAACTGAGCAACTGCAAGTCTGCAGCATACAGTCCTAGACCCTCAACCAAAAGAGGCTTAACAGTAATAACATGGATATATCACCACTGGGAAGATGTTGACATGTTAAAGATTCTGGGATACCAATCTGGTATAATCAGCAACATACTGGGTTCCTATGAAAGATGTGGCATTTCTCCTTAAGGTCAGCTTTTAGAGAACTTTGAAAAACAGTGTTTTAAACCGATTACTTACAGTACTCCTTTGCTTGCAGAAAAGCACAAGAATTATAGTTCAATAAAAATGGAATATATGATCACTTTTTGACTGGATTTGATTAGTTGTGTAACTTTGGCAAGATTATCACAATGTGATCCAGTTAAGATTTGAGGATTATACAAACACTAGCACCAAATTAATCTTGCAATCAGACACGTGAGATATTTATGCACTCTCATATGTCTCTGACCACTCTGCAGTCTCTCCCCATCCCACTGCTTCAGTTAGCATTTGATAGTTAGCGCAGTACTTTATGCCATTGACAAAGCAACATAATCTGGACAGATTCCTGGCTTCTCTCTGCTCACAAGAATAGCATGCCACCTTGTCAAACCCCCGAGGATGCAAACTGGGATTATTCTACATAAAGTCTCCCTCTGTGGCATCTGAAATAAAAAACCTTTCCCCCAGAACTGCCACTGTTTTGATAGTGAATTCCATGCTGAGTTGAACTAGTTACTCAGTTCTTTGGCTGATTTTAAGAATTGCATTTAAAAGTTACCCTATATTACAAGCATTTAGAAAAGATATTTATACCTGGTATTGGTACTCTTTCAAGTACTCTTTTAGTCTTGTTGGCAATGGCAGCTCCCAGATCTGATTTGTGCATTTGTTTATAGTTATTCTGCAGCGGTGTTGCAGAGATGGAGCCGATGTATAGAGAGGTTTGTTCAAGTAAAGATGAACTGTTCCATTTGAAGGTGTTTCGGTTCTGTCCTTGCACATAAGAACATAGTACTCAATCAAATGCACAACACTGTTGAACTGTTTAAGTCTAGATCTGACACAAGTGATAGAGTCCAGTCTAAACTTGCCATCTTGATATTCTATACGTAGATTGGTCGGTCCCGCTGATGTTTTTACTGAAATAGTCAGTAGATACTCTGAATGTGAACTATCCCTAACCAAGAAGGTCCCTTCGGGGGCATCCTGTAATCTCTCTTTGGCTTCAGCAACAGTCATGTTGCCCCAGTACCAACCTGTTAAAAGAGGAGAGAAAGAAGGGTTTTGTTTAGTCTTGTTTGTTTGTTTTAAAAGCTCTTCTTTGGCTGGTATACTTGTAATAACCCATTTCCTTTGTTGTTTGAGAGCAAAAGTCCTGCAGGCATTGTAAGTTTTCATTTGCTGTTTAAATTAATTTGCTTTACATTGCGTCTCGTTTTGACAGAGCCTTCCAGGTCACTGTTTATTTTCATATCTATGCGTATAAACGCACAAACTTTTCTCCAGCGTCCTGCGAGACTAATGCCGAAGCCGCCGACCCCATGGGCCGCCCGTAAGGTAGCAGGGATGCGTCCCGCAGCTCCGCGCCGCGCACACGCCGCGGCAAGGGCTGTGTCAGCACGGTACGCGCGGGCAGCCCGCAAAAAGACCGCTTTTGGTAACTCTCGGCAGGCTGCTGTTGAAGTGAGCTTTGTCTAGCAATCAGAAACGGAGAGGGGTAAGAAAACAACTTCGGCGCTGTGGCTACGGTCCTAGCCGGGAGGCGACGATGACAAAAGCCCTTCCCCCCGCCCGCGGCCAAGCTCCGCATCTTGCGGGGC